GGGGGGGGGGCTCGGGCATCCCGGGGGGCACGCGCCTCCGCCCCAGCACGCCCGGGGCCGCCGGCCGGGCTTGGCGGTGGCCCCGCGCCCGTCTGCATTTTCCGAACCCGAGGGGTCCCGAGAGGATCGCGCCGGACGGGGAGGACGCGCGCCTGCCTGGCAAATGCGCATCCGAGTCAGTGCCGCGCAGAGCGACCCGGGCGGGCCAAGGAGAAGCCGCTGCGATCCGAGCCGGTGGCGCCTGACCTAGAAAGGGAGCTTGAGGCTGCCGGGCACAGCTGGAGGAGAGTGTCGCCCCCGTGCACAGCTGCACGAGGCAGAAGCAAGGAAGGATTTACAACGGAAATTGGAAATAGCATGGCCGGTGTGACGCACTGCCCTTCTGAAGATCCGTGGGTTATCCATGCTTCGAATGTTGCGTGCGGGTCTGATCATCCCATCTCAAAATGCCGTGAAAGCATCGGAGAAGCGCAGATACAATAGCAAATGCAAAACGTGGGGATCTTTAGCATTGGTAGTAGTGGCGATTTCAGTCACTGGAAGAACGTGGAAGTGTTGAGGATAGTTTAATCACTTCAGGTCCTTGCAAGCCACTATAACTAAATGGGTTTAGAGAAAAGTGGGCTAAAATCATTTAAAGACGCAGGCCTATGCATGCCTGGCGCATCCTGGGAGTCTTAGAACTTTCTTCTGTCTAAACATGTCTGGACTGGATCTCAGACAAATCCAGTCTGTTTTAATCAGCTGCATGTTTCCTCCTCTTCAGACATTTATATTCTGCTCTTTAGTTCAGTGTTTATCTTTCTAATGGTTTGCTTAAAACAAGTGTTTATATTTCTTTTTCTTCCCCCTCCCACTGTGTATGCTTAAACAGAAGAATGACAGCATCATATACATCAGCATAAAATAGAAACAAACCACAGTCTGCCGAGGGGGGGGGGGCAGACACACACCTCCTCTGCTGAACAACTCCAAATGCAGAAGCCCTGAGCTTTGTTGCAAGACATCCAACAAGCTGGTGTTCCCATATATACTGATACATAAGACCACCTTGAAACCAGAAATAGTGAGGCAAAAGTCTCACTGGGGGTGATCTTACAAGCCAGGTGAAAAATTTTCATCGTCCTTGAAAGAGATCAGGAGGGTGGCTACCCGGAGGAGGGCCTTCTCTGCGGTGGCACCCCAACTGTGGAACAAGCTCCCCAGAGAGGTTCGCCTGGCACCAACGCTTTTTTCCTTTCAGAGCCAGGTGAAAACCATTTTATTCTCCTACTCTTAATTGTTAATTGTCTTAATTTGTGGTTTTATATTTATTACTGGATGCTGTGCTACTTTTATTTTTTTTATGTTATTGCTGTTGTTGTAAACTGTCCTGAGATGTCGATGATGGGACGGCATATAAAAGTTTTAAATAAATAAATATTATATTAATCATTTTGAAATGGATAGATAATGAAGTCAATTGTATTTACAAGCTTGCTTTGATTAGTAACATTAAAAAACCTTCTTAACGGTACCAGGGGAGCTTGTGCGGTGCTGCGCTGCATCGCAAGCCTGGCGGGCAGCCACGGCCTGGTCCCACGTCCCGCCCACCCTGGCCGGGGGACAGCACGCTGCTCTGGGCCAGCCACAGAGGTGGAGGCTGGGAAGGGGAGCGTCCGCCACGTGGCTACCTGTACGGTTGCACAGCGCTGCCGAGATGGCAAGGTACAGAGAGTCTGCATTTGCAGACATAGCTTCCGGCTGACAAATGCCTGCCTGTATCAGCATAGAAGAACCCCCTGAAACTGAAAATGGAGAAGCAAAACCTGGGGGCTGCTCAACACATGGCAAACACTGGAAAAACAAACTGAAATATCGACCTCGTCTTCTAGGCGAGCTGCCTTATGAGCTGGTATGCAAGTCCGGGATGAGGGATCCCTGCCTGTGAACTGAACGCAGCGTGTCCGGCAGTGAGCGGTCCTCTCTCTGGTCCTTGCTGCAGGGCTGGAGAAAGCAGCCTTGCCCAAATGCTGGGAAAGATCTTGGGTGATCCGGAAAGTTCTGGGGATCCCAACACTTTTCTCTGCAAAGGGAAAGGGAGGCCTATCCAGGGGGTGGGGCTTTGGGGGGGGGGCTTTGCCCGCTGCTCTCATCCGCCCCTGCCTAGGAGCGGACATGGTCTGGCCCAGGGCCAGAGCAGGACGTGGCCGCAGGATCAGCACTTTTCATGGGGCCGTAGTCTTGCTCCCTCAGCAGCAGCTCGAACTGCACATGTTCTCAGGCGACAGAGCTGAAGAGGCCACTCGCCTGCACGAGGCTTGTTTCCGCTGCGCGGGAGCAGCGCCAGGTTCTGACCACGGGAGGCCCCGGCCCATTCATCCCAGTCCGGAAGCGGCCAAGCTGGGCAGGCGGAACGACTCCTGTTTCTCTCGGATGGCTTCGTCTTGACCCTCGTACCTCTCCGTTTAGCAAGGAGCAAGCAGCCAAGGACATCTCCATGGCAGGTTGTCTCAGACAAGCACGCAAGGGGCGGAACCACAGGCTGGCGTCCCGGCCAAAAGAACCATTCCCACGGCGTGATTTGTGGCTTCAGTTTTGGTGGATGAAAATAAGAAATAATTTTGAGCATGCCCCACCCTCTACCTTAGGGAAAACAGGCAGACAGCTGGTGAATCGATTCAGAGTGCCGTGCAGCAGGCAACATGGCCGCTCTCCAGGCACGGTGCTTTCCACTTCATTTCACATCATGACGACTGCTTAAACATTTCGAATGGTGCCCTGTGAGGCTGTCAGAAGGACTGCGAGAGACGCAGCATCGTGTCTGACGCTGAGGCGCCCAGCCAAAAGAAAGACCCGATGCTGGGCTTGCTTTCAGGATCCATCCATGATCAAAAGGCCATCCTGAGTCTTGGTTTTGCTTCCATCACTTATTTATTGTCTCTGGAAATCCCCACCCCTTCTCTAAAAATGTCTTCCAGAGGAAGCACAGCAAAGGCTCCTGCTCGGTCCTGGGATAAGGTCCTCCTGCATCGTTCAAACTGGCAAGCAAAAGAGAGCGGCGAGCAGGAACACGTGTCTGGTCCTCACGGTGACGGAAGAGGCTCTGCAGTGGCCCGGTGCTTTCAGCGCGTTCCTAAACAACCCGGAGGCAGGAATGGGCAGTGGGGCGGGCACTGATGGGAGACGGGTTCACTCAGAGAGATGAACCAGAGACAAGGGCGCCTGGACTGTCCAGCTTGGACTTCTGTAGCCTTCTCCGCATGGGGCTGCCCTTGAAGACGGGCCAGGACGTCACTGCGGGACTGGTAGTGGGGGCTGCGGCAAACAGGCCACGTTACGCAAGGGGTTTATAAGCTTCACCGCCTCCTGTTGCATCAAGGTGGCTTTAAGGAGCTGGATTAGCCCGTAAAAAATGAAGCAGTCGAGGCCCAGGATCCCAGGAGTTCAGCCTCTGTTGTAAACATTGCTTAGCTTGGGGATGGGCAGCCCCCTCCTTGTGTCGCTCCCCCACAGCAAATGCTCTCTTGGTGGGGATGAAGAAAAGACTTTTTCCACTGTGGCTCTTGGATTACAGAATAATCTTCCCCAGGGATTTTTGGCCCACACTTTGCCTGCTTTTGGCAGCTTTTAACAGTTAATTCTAACCTGTTTGTGTGTGTTTGTCCGTCTTTCTGTTGTTTTATCATCATCTTATGTAAGATAATGTAAGCTGTCTTGAGTGGGCATTTTGCCTGGAAAGACAGGATCTCACTTTTCGTTCAAAATAAACAAAGCTGCGTGAACCGTGGCTGCGTGGGGCTCAGCCATCCGCGAGGAGGCACGCCCACTGCCGTGTGCTCCAGGGAATTCGTGCCAAGCCTGGGGGGACCTCTGGGCAGTTGAACGAGCGCAGCGAAGCTGCCCAAGAAAAACTTCTCTGAGCTGCCTTGCAAGGGGGAAAGCACCGCCTTCTGAACTCTGTGACCGGCACAACCTGGCGCACCCATCAGGTCAGGGAAGAGAAGCCTTTCGTGCCTACCGGCCCCGGGCCCCAAGTGGCCACCACTGCTGCCTCCGTCCTGCCGATCTCTGCGTGTTTGGTGGAAGGCCCGCGAGGGGGCATTGCTGACGCAGTGGTCCATGCGTGGGAATCTGCAAAGGGAACAAAACCGGCCCTCAAAAAGCTTACTGGGCATAACAAATTTCCAAGCTCCACATTAATGCAACACCTTGCTTCGGCCAACTCAAATGTTGCCAGAAAAGATACAAGCTTCCATGATCTGCAGATCTCTTCTTCGGGCAAGATGGTACCAAAAGCAACTGTGTGTGACAGAGAAGAAAGAGAAAGTCTGACTTTAAGTCAGAATTTTTCTTCATCCCCTGCTTTTTCTTGGGGCCCCTCCACAAGAACCTGCTTTTTCTGGCATCTTGCCAGATGAAGATTCGGGATAAAATCTAACCTGAATCTACACAGCACAGATCCATTGAATGAGCGGGACCTAAATCAGCCACCTTGGGCACATTCCTATGCATGCGGGGGGAGGGGGCTCCTGCAACATCCAGCCAGCTGCGACACCATCACTTACTTCATTTCTGCACTGCTGTGTGGGACCCAGAATCCTGAGTACCATTCCAGTCATCACAACGAGAAAAAGGATATTGTAGAGCTGCACAAAGTACAAACACCGGGCAGGCAAGTGAGGGAGGGGCCGGATCTGTACCTCCCCAGGAAAGGAGGCTGCTTCCAGGACTGTCTAGCTTAGAATGAGAGGAGGGGAGACCGGATCGAGGTGTGTAAAATACTGCCAAGGCTGGAGAAAGTGGGCGAGGTTCTTCCTCCTGCTTCAGAGAACGAGAATCAGGGCTGTTAAGGGGACAGCGCAGACCTGAACTGCAGAACTCACTGGCAGGACCAAAAGGGGAATGGGCCAATTCCCGGAGGAAAAAGCATCAATGGCTACTGTTCCTGACGGATTGCTATCCCCTCCCGAATCAGAGTCTGAATGCCCAGGTACACGGGTGCTGTGGGCAGGAGTGTTCCGTTGCTTTTACGCCTTTTTCCTATCAAAAGTGGTGCAGGATTCCCCATTCATTTCAATGGCTCCCGTCTGCAGGAGGCAGGCTTCGAATAGCGTCTCCTGGTATGCATTTGCCCACTTTCGTGAGCGCTGCTGCCCCGCCTGGGCAGGGGAGCAGGAACCTAAGCGTGGACCCGCAGCTCCGGAGCCGGAGCGGTTTCCTGACCTCGGCTCCGCGAAGCCAACCCACCCCCGTGTGTGTGTGTGTGGGGGGGAAGGGCAGCCTACATCCCAGGCCCATAGCCCATCCTGCCCCACGTCCTGCTATTAATCCTAATATCAGAGAGGTGATTTGGGTTCCCAGAGGTCGCTTCTGCTATTGCGTGGCGCAATCGCGCAGTAATACAATGAGATGAAAACTTTCCGTCGCAATCTCAGTGCAGCTCCTGATGACGGTGATGA